TGGAGGACTTGCAAAGTTGTTTACCCTTTTCATTCCATGCACTTTTCATAGAAAGAGAACTTTTGTTGGACAAGAATTTCTTACCTCATAGTACTTCCTGAAGCTGCCAGCTTGCAGTCAGGCCTGGTTATGTAAACCCAGCTGGCCAGATGGGACTTTGGTTTCTTTACCCATAAACCAGTCCTTTCTGTACCTAGGGTACCAGCCCACACATCGGAGAACTCAAATCGCAGACTAACGTATGCCTTGAGTTTCATCAAAGTGTATAGACTTAATTGCCATATTCCTAAGACTTTCCTAGGATCTGTTTACTGCTATTACAAAAGACTGGAGAGATTTTTAATTCTTGGAATTGCTGATCTTACTTCTACTACTAATAAGTAAACAGGAGTGATATATGATTACATGTTATCGAGTGTTTGTGAGGAATCAGGTCTTGATGCAAAGGGCTTACGTGCATAGAGTCTTTAGTCCTGGCTACAGTCCCATGAGGCAGATACTATCACGCTGCTGCTTTGGCAGTGAAGGGTGTGGGAGCCCAGAGACAGGGCTAGAAGCAGCATACAATTCTGGAGGTCAATGCTCCAGGCTGTGCTCACACGATCTCCTTCATCCTCACAGTAATCCAATGAGCCACGCACTCGTCTGCACTTGGGAATGGCAAGAGGAAGTACGGAGAGCTGGCATGCCCTGATCTGAGTCCACCAGGTGGTAAGTAGTGGACCCGGGATTTGAACCCCATGCTCAGGAAGCCTGCCTGCTTAGGGGATGTATTGGGTTCGAGGTCAAGTGGGTGTAATGTGAGGTTAGGATGCCAACCCCTTCTGTAGTCATCCTCTAGTGCTTTCTGGTGATACCTGGTATCCAGCAAAGCGACACAGCTCACAGCCCCCAAAGAACTGGCTGCTTCACCTCTGTCTGCCACAGCTGCTCTGTAGGGCAAGGTGAGGCTGTGGATTCCAGAGAGGATCAAACCACTCGTCAGATGGGAGCCCAGACAAAGCATAACGTGGTGGGGTGGGATGGGGAGGGAGGCTCTAGCTACACATCCCACATCCTCAGACTTAAGCCACAGTGGATCAGAAAAGTATTCCAAAAACCAAAAATGTTTGCTGAACATGGCTAGATTTTTTTCCCTTGTCATTATATGGTATAACAACTATTTATCCAGCATTGACGTTGTGTGAGGTAACATGAGTAACCCAGAGATAATTCAGAGTGTGCAAGAGCATGTGGGTAGATTACAAGCAGACTGCATATGGAACTTGAGCATCTGTAGGTTTTGATATACCCAGGAGCCCTGGGACCCTGCTGTGACTGAGGAGGACCATGCTTGGGACTCAGATTTTACCTTGCTACCCTTGGACTTCTCGTGTTTCTTCGAAGCTCCCAAGCTCTAGGCATCAGCGCTTTTGACCTTCCAGACATCCTTGGTGACCCAAGAGTTGCAGACAGTGCATCTGGTGATGGGACCGAACAGGTGTCTCCAGGTCAAGGAGGGCCTTGGCTGCCATGCTAAAAGGTATGGGAATAAAGCCATGGGCCACTGGTTGTCAATTTCAGTCATTGCATGCCTCTCTTCTAGTGTGTGCTGTATCTGAAACCAGTATATAGCTTTGGCTTTAAGTTGAACAGATTCCCTTTTTATGTAGATAAATTTGATTTACCCCCAAGACATCACCCCCTTCATTAAAATTAAGAAAGTAGAGTCATTTGCTCTATGTAAATAGATACCCTAAAATAAAAGAATAACAAAAAACAAAAGATGAGCTCTGAGCCCCCAGAGCTTTCTCCTTCTTGGTTGAAGGGGAGATTGGCAAAGATGGCGGAGGGCCCTGTTACAGAATCAGGAGGACTGGAAGAGGACCACTGAGGGATATTTAACCAGGTGGTTCCAGGCCATTGATTTATGGGGCTGGCAGTGTGGCCTAGCACCTTAAGTCACTGCCCACTCTGGACACTGATTCAAGTCCCAGCTGCTCTGTTTCCAATGTACTTTGGAAAGCAGCAACGTATGGCCCACGTAGGTGGGAGCCCTGGAAGAAACTCCTGGCTCCTGCCTTTAGCCTGGCTTTGGCCTGGCTGTTGCAGCCACCTGGGACGTGAATCAGCAGTTGGAAGATCACTCTTTGTTGTTCCTTTTCTGTAACTCTGCCTTATGAATCAATCGATCGATCGATCTTACCTGAAAAAATTTCATCTCCTGCTCCACTGTGTCTGTTCCCTCCCCCCTAGTGCCTGCCGTAGCAGACACTGGACCAGGCTGAAGTCAGCAACTGAGTACTCAGTTCAGGTCTCCCTTGGGACAGGCAAGAGTCTGATTACTTGAGCTAGCATCACCTCCTGCACTGCCTTCCAGGATGGGCACTGGCAGGAAGCTGACCTGGGAGTGCAGGCCGTACTCAGATGCAAGCATTCTGACATTGGACGTGTGCTTCCCAAGTGGCGGCTTTTGCCCTGTCCCGCACACCAGTCTCCTGTCGCGTGAGTTCACATACCATATCAAACCGCATTTCACTGCCACATCTCCTTCGGTTGCTCTTGTCAATGTGAGCTTCTCAGACTGATTTTGTCTTTGATGACCTTGGTGCTTTTGAGCTATACTAGTGAGCCTGACTCTGTAGGATGCCCTTCTTCTGGGGTTTATCTGAGGGGTGTGTGTGTGTGTGTTTCCCTATGAAGAGACTGGCATGAGTTATTAGAAGGAAGCCCACAGATGCTCAGTGTCGTTCCTACAACATCCCATCAAGAGTACGTACTGTCAGCGTGCCTTACCACCATGGATGCTGGCTGCAATTATTTGGGTGTTGTAGGGTTTGCCTGGTTCTGTACCTATAGATATGTCAGGGCTACAGCATGATAAGCTGATACTCGTGTTTATTCCTCCTACCTGACTGTAATTGGCTAGCCCTTGTTCATCCTCCCTTCATTCCTCCATCCCCCTGCTCTTCATAACCCGCAGTGAACTCTGCTGTGGCCTTTAAGTGTATGAAGGCAACTCTTTAAGATTTCAGTCATTTCTGTCCCTGGCTTATTACACTAAACGTAATATCCTCTGGTTCCCTCTATAGGATTTCAATTTTCACGGCAGAATGGCACTCCACGTATACCACGTGTTCTTCCCAGGATGGTTATTTAAAACACAGAGAGAAATGTTTGGCTTCCATTTTAGAAAAATAAAATATTCTAGTGACATTGTATAGAATGTTCAGACTAGAGAAACAGATCCCAAAGGCCATTTTAACAAAGCTTGCTTGGGTTAACTATGTCATAGTTTGAATCAACTTTGCCCTTCTATTTGAAAATACATGGCAGCCTCTGGTCTTTGCCGCCCCCTGAGCATCTGCTGGCAGAAACAGTCCTAGTTAACGTGCATAGAGTGGATCCTTTTCCAAGTATATGGTAAAGCCAGCAATGTGGGAGCTTAAAACCAGATGTACTTGGAGTCATCGTTCTTTCCTCCTAGGTGTGGGGATCCGCTCACAGTGACTTTGTGGATTGACAGAGGGAAAAGGGAGAGTCCATGTTGAGCAGGCTCGCAGCAAGGTGCACACATCATTTACTTTGGGGGGGCGTGTTGACCTAGAAAGGGGCAACAAGAATAGATGTTCAAATAAAAACATCATCAGATTTATTGGTCCTGAAGACACCTGTATTAAAATCTAAGCATTTAAATTATTTAGCCACACTTGTTCTTGGAGAAGCATGTATTCTTATCAGAGTATTGAAAACAATTGTGGAAAAGTGGAAGATAATCTTATTTAGGGCCAATTAACTTGAAATCTATGTGTTGGTGGTTTTTTTTTTTTTTCGTAATATGCATTGTCTGTGAACTTTTCAAAGACCCTTGTGTGGAAGGGTGTGTGTGGAGTTCTGTTTCTGAATATAGCCAGTGCAACTAATACAGCCATTGACCTCCCGATACAAAATATTAGAACATAAAATGAGACAATGCTTGAGGAAACGGTTAGAAAAAATATTGTTAACAGCATAAGCCATCTGGTAACTTGAACAAAGTCCCTGTTTGAGTTTGTAGAGGCTATTCAGGGAAGGAAGGCTACCTCCCTAATTGCTCAGGTATAAGGGATTCAGGTGAAGGTATCAAGTGGTAGGTTTGTCAATGAAAGCTCTTCCAAAGGAAGGAACTCTTGTGAGGAGCTGCCTGATCAGGGAAGGCAGCAGAAGGCAGCAGCTTATGCAATGCTGTGAGAGTTAAAGCTAAGAGGATGACAAATTCAACTGTGGAGTTGGAAGTCAGAATTCTTGATCTAGAAGAGTTACTTGGTTTGACCATGTGTGTGTATGTACAGGTGTATTTATTTTAAAGAATTATCTTGCAGAGTGAGAAGAGACAGAGAGAAGAGATCATCCATCCATTGATTCACCCTCCCAAATGCCCAAAAGAGCCAGGGTTGGGCCAAGCCAAAACCAGGAGCCGGTAACTCCCTCTGAGTTTCCCACGTGGGTGACAGAGCACCATGGACTTGGGCCATCTGCTGCTGCCTTCCCCAGCATCTTAGCAGGGAACTGAATCAAAAGTGGGGCAGCTGGGACTAGAACCGGCGCTCATGGGGGATACCTATGTTACGGCATCAATGCGCTGTGGCACAGTGTCATCCCCCATCCTTTTGGTTTTTTTTTTTAGTTTGTAAAAATTCATTGAGCAAAATAATTCATGTAGTTTTCTGTCTGTACCTTATATCTCATTTTAAAGGTTCACCCTAAAAATGTAAATACCAGTAAACATTCATTAAGTTTTTGAGGTTGTGGGAAATGAAGCACTCACTGGATGGGATTCTTTCTCTCTCTCTCCATATCTTTGTCTGTGTCTCTTTTTTTTTTTAGCAGAGCAGTAGTAGCTAGCTGGGAGTCTAGAGCTTATGGAAGTCTTAGATGCACCAGAATATTTTAAGAAATCTGGAAAATATACTGCACGTATACAGGGCTTCTTCAAAAAGCTCATAAATTTGTTATTTGTAGGAAAGTTATTCTATTACTATAGAAATACGGAGCACCTTGTGGATTTGGATGTCACCCTTCCACAAGGGCTGTGCTAATCTCCTCCAGATCATTCTAGCTTTAGTCTTTGTGCTGTGGAAGTTAGCACAGAAAAGTACCTGTTATTTGAAACAGACAAAAATACAAAAAACTAGGTAAGGATTGCAAAATGTTTTGGCATCAAAATAAAGTTTTTGAAAGACCTCTTTTTTTCCATGAACTTTTTTTTTAAAGATTTATTTTATTTTTATTGGAAAGGCAGATATACAGAGAGGAGAGACAGAGAGGAAGATCTTCCGTCCGATGATTCACTCCCCAAGTGAGCGCAATGGCCGATGCTATGCCGACCCGAAGCCAGGAGCCTCTTCCAAGTCTCCCACAAGGATGCAGGGTCCCAAAGCTTTGGACCGTCCTCGACTGCTTACCCAAGCCACAAGCAAGAAGCTGGATAGGAAGTGGAGCATCCAGGACACAGACCAGCACCCACATGGAATCCTGTTGCCTGCAAGGGGTGCATTATAGCCACAGGGCCATTGCACTAGGCCCTCCATGAACATTTTGAAGTATCCTCATACTAATTGCTTCTCCATTGTCTTCATGGCTACAGCTATTCGGCTTCACCCCAGGAGGTTCCCTCCCTGACCCCTGAATGCGTCTGAGTTTTCAGCCTTTGTGAAAATTCTCTCTCCACCATGTGCCAAACAAGGCACCTTGGGCTGCTTCCCCAACTTGTGCAGTTTCCTCACCCTAAATGTGTTCCTTCAGCTCCTGAAGTTGTCTTTTGCTTTTTCCTTAACAAGGATCCAATGGGCACAAAGCACAATGCCAGCTACATGATAGATTCTGACAAATGGAAGTGATGCTGTGATTAGCAGGAATAATCGTCTAAAAAAAAAAAAAAAAGAAAGATTTGATGGCCCAAAACTAATGGTCACTTGCTGGCTCCCAAGCCATTCTCCCACGAGAAATGCAGCCAAGCTGGGCCTTGTTCACATCCCATTTGCCACGTCAGGCTTCTGCTCGACCACGTTTAATAACCAGTTTCCAGATCTGGATATTGGGGGCTGTAAATTTCCCTGGTGACTGTTGCCAATGACAGGGAAGGAAAGACTTGTGTAATTACCACTTGTACTTCCACAAAACACATGAACTCAAGTCAAGAGCAAGGGTTTTAGACGATAAAACACCAGGTTTTTCAAAGGCAGGAAAGACCTGCCCTACTTGAATGATAAGAACTGTATGCCTGGTTAGAAAAAGAGAAGCAGGAATGGCACTGGCATGGCCTAGCACCTGGGATGCCTTTATTTTGGAAGGTACCATTCTCCTCCTCATCCCCCCGCCCCAAGTGCCTGCACACTGACAAGTTTGTCAGAAGAGTGAAGGCTTTAGGATTAGCCGTGTGTTGATTGGGAATCAGTAACTTTGCTTGTGGCCCAAAACCACAACATTTCTTTTTCTATATTCCTTTGGTGATGCAGGTACCCTTTTTACTTGATTTTACAGCATGATTTTGGGGGACATTCTGCCGTGTCATCCTTCAGATACGATAATGTGACCAGTTGTATGGAAATATGCCACGACAGCAACATACCAAGAATTGGGGAACCGTGGAGACATTTGGAATTGGTTTCCAAATTAGGTGACGATGTCCAGGTTTCAGATGGAGGTGAGTCACAAGGAAGAAATTGTCTCGAGCTCAGATTCCCAAAAAGGATTTCATTTTAAAAAATAGGAAACTGAATAATCCCTACCTTCCCTTGCAACATCTTACATTGGCAAGACAGTGTTTCTACAGTAGGGTTAGATCACATTAGCTGTTCCTGGAAGGTACTGAGCAGAAACACAGGACTTAGAGGACTGAGCAGAGATTGAGCAGGTTCAATAGTAAAAAGGTACTGGAATTTTAAAGAGAATATGTATATATATGATATCATATACATATGATATATATACATATGTATGTAATATATGATATATATATATATATTCATTTCAATTCTTTGAAAGACAAAGAGACATCTTCCATCTTGTAGTTCGTTACCTCAAAGTCCTGTGACAGCCAGGCCTGGGCCAGGCTGATGGCAGGTCTCTACATGGGCAGCAGGGACGCCAACACTGAAGCCTTCTCCACTGCCTCTCTCAGTGCACAATAGCAGGAGGCTGGAAACAGAAGCAGGCCCAGACTTGAACCAGACACTCCATTACAGGATGTGGGTGTCCCAAGTGGTGACTTGCCCACCATGCCCAACATCCATCTCCATAACTAGAACTACGTACGGATCAATGCTCAGTCCCAAATTTCCTGAATTTCCAGCAAGCATAAAGTCAAAGGAGAGGGATTCCTGTAAGGGTCAGATTTGGCTACTCCAAGAGACAAATTCAACAAACCCAAAAGTGACCACTGTGAATTCTTAAACCATAAGCTCAGAGCATAGCATGCGGTCACTCGTGAAAGGGTCAGTGTCTGCTGCTTTTTTTTTTTTTTTTAATCTCCTGGTGATAATAGTTTCCCTGAAATGTCACTTTGCCCCAAATCAGTCAAAAGGGATAACAGCCCACTTGATTTTAAATCACCAAAGACCTAGGCCGGGAAAAGGAATAAAAGTTTGCTGTAAATATTTGGGGGAGCAGATCATTCTGCAAAGTTGCACAAGAGAGATCATTAAGAGCGCTTTCCACAGTGAGACAGTTGCCCATGTGTGCTCGGAGGGTATTATCAGTGCAGAAACCCCTCGTGGAGTCCTCCTGGCTCACCCCCAAGCCTTCTCTTTCCCCAGCCCACAACTTCAGCTTACACAGTTTGACCTACTGTGCTTGCTAAGCATGTGCAGCTGAAGAGGCATGGTTGTTTGAAGATAAACTCGCAAGTGAGTAATTGCATTCCAGATTCTCTTAAAAACGGCTCATGTTCATCTTTTTCACACTGTCAACATCAGTGACACTGCAAGCCGCCCCCTCAATCTTTTCACGTACTACGGATCATTTCAAAAGAACATGTTAGCAAGACTTGTCTGTAGAGCAACGCTCCTGCTACCCTCTCAAATGTTGCATCAGAGCTTGGTAGGCTAGATGGATAGTAAGCTTAGAGCAAGATGTTTGTTTCAGTTGCTACTTTGAAAAAACCAAAATGATACGCATTTTGACATCCTTGGTATTAAGCCAAACTATGCAAATCCAGTCAGATATGGCTCAGAGGTATTGTTTAAAAGACAATTGCTTTATGTCAGGGGCAGCTAACTGGCCATCAGCACCTGGTGGTGGATAGCCGCTCAGTTTGTGTATTTGATTAGAATTTCAGGAGCAAATTATTTGATTCCTAGGCCTGTCTCTGATTCAACATTTGACGTTGGAGCCATCACCATCCCCTTCAGGCTTTTCTGTCTTAAGAATGAGACTGATAACTTCCGATTACCCATCTCACCCGGGTATTAGGTGGATTAACGGGGTGGTATTTGTGAACGCTTGGAAAAGACTCAAGAAAGAAAAAGTTCTACATCTTTTGTAATTGGCTGGGAATATTGTGGGGCCATGGACAGGCAGGGACTCCGTTGATGGAAGACTATCACAGAAGGAACTCTCCATATAACTAAGGAATACCCCCTTTGGAAAGCAGGACTTTCCATCCCTCTAAAGTCTCTGCTTCTCTTTGTGGGCACAAAACACTGGACCTCCCCTGGTAAATCAAGCCTTTTCCTCTGTCTAAACAGAACCCAGAGTTCTGAAAAAAGGAACTACCATGCGATGTGATGGAGAGTTACTCAGGAGAGTGTTTCTGTTTCTATAACGCAAAGACTGACCTTAGGTCAACTAGACCTGGGTCGAGCCTGGTCTGCCATTGTCCTTCAGGGTAACCCCAGTTGAATCACTCAGCCTTTCTGCATTGATTTCAACCTGAGTATGAGCCGTTAGGAACCGTGGCCCACATCAGTGGCAACTATCCACGTCTGTAGAGCATAAACAATTGAACTGAATAGTGCTTTATCGATCAAAACCCAACACATCAGAGCTTGTGTGTCCTGGGACCAGGCTATCCACAGCCAATCATTCATAAAAGCCTTGCCATGTGAGCCACTTTGGGTTTAGAGATGGCAGATCCTTAGGAAACAACTTTGTGTCAGCAGTGTATGCAACGTTCCGTAGCGCTTGGTTCTGTCAGCGCTAATTGGGCCTGATTTCCTTGTTTTCCAGGTATAACACCATGAAGAAGCTCTGGTGAGTTGACATTACCAGGGATGAGCTATGTGCACGCCAAGCACTGTGTGCATGTATTCATTCATCATTAATAACAAATACTGTGAATCTGTTTTCGATGGTCATGACGGCCCCAAAGAGGTGGGTACTGATGATCAGCTATTTCACAAAAGGGAAAACAAGCTCTGATGAGATCTAGGAATCTAGTGCAGGCCACACACTTCCTTACTCGAGAAGCCAGAGTCCAATACTCACTCTGACTCCCGAATTCTGTTTTGTCCAATAGAAACTATGTGTGAGACAGGGAGCACTTGCCAGTGGAGACGAGCATGTTCCGCATGGCTGTGCCCGGGCTCACTCTGGCTCCAGCTCCTGATGCCAGCTCCCTGCTGTTGGGATGCCGGGAGGTAACGAGGAACAGTAATGGCTAAAATAAGAGAGACCTAGATTGCGATGGCGGCTCCCAGCTCCAGTCCCAATCTGGCATTTGGGAAATGAATCCATGGACAGGAGATGGCTCTGTGTCTTGTCTCTCTTCCTCTCAAATAAATTTGCAAGATTTTAAGTGAAAATCAGTGCTACCTATTGAGGGTACTTCACAACGTTTATGGAAAATTTAATGAAAATGTGGGATTCTGTTCATACAAGTATATATATATATATAAAGATTATTTATATCTATTGGGAAGCCAGATATACAGAGAGGAGGAGAGACAGAGAGGAAGATCTTCCGTCCGATGATTCACTCCCCAAAAGTGCGCAATGGCTGGTGTTGCGCCAATCTGAAGCCAGGAGCCAAAAACCTCTTCCAGGTCTCCCACGTGGGTGCAGGGTCCCCAGGCTTTGGGCCGTCCTCGACTGCTTTCCCAGACTACAAGCAGGGAGCTGGATGGGAAGTGGGGCTGCCGGGTGCTTAGAACCAGTGCTCATATGGGATCCCGGTGTGTGCAAGGGAAGGACTTTCGCTGCTAGGCTATCAAGCTGGGACCTGTTTTGGTTTTTTGTTTGTTTGTTTGATAGATTTTTTTTTTTTACTGAAAAGGCAGAGAAACTGACAAGAGGAGAGACAGAGAGGAAGAGGAAGAGCTTGTGTTCACCAATTCACTCGCCAAGTGGCTGCAACAACCAGATCTGAGCTGATATGCAGCCAGGAGCCAGGAGCCTCTTCTGGGTCTCCCACACAGGTGCAAGGTCCTAAGGCTTTGGCCTGTCCTTGACTGCTTTCCCAGGGCACACACAGGGTGCTGGATGGAAAGCGGGGCCACCAGGACACAAACTGGCTTCCATATGGGATCCATGGCACGTACAAAGCAAGGACTTTAGCCACCAGGCTACCGCAAGAGACTCTCTTTCCACAAATTTGTATAAATATGTTTATCATATGCAACAAAGTAGGACCTCAGACAGAAGAATGTTCCAGAAAGAATTCTTCTATAAGGATAAATTGGTCAATCAACAATGCAAACTTTAACACGTTAATTGCCCGCTAAACATGGAAAACATCTTTTTGTCACTACTGAATGTTCAAAATGAAGAATCTTGGTACCCTGCACCCACGTGGGAGATCTGGAAGAGGTTC